AAAAAAAAAAAAAAAAAAAAGCTAATGCACAACACTGGTTCAGCCAGATAGTCTGTAAGTAAATCAATGTAAATAGAATCATGTCCAGTTGTCCAGATCCAGACAGTTGAGTTAAAGTAATACACGAACGGAGCCAAAAAAAAATTATGCAGCTGATATTGTTTTCGATTGTTGTCGAGGAGGTATGTGCAGCCATGCTTTCATCGTGTCGTATGCTGTAAAACCGATTGCAACAGAGGGTACAATCTGCAGAAAAAAAAAATAAAATCAAATACAAAAACTCTGTTTTCTGTCGAGAGAGATACAAATATATGTCAATCTTTAATTCTCAAATGGATGGTTAAAAGAACCAAAAAAACTGCTGCCCCACAACAATGGATATATAGTTATAGAAAAATAATACCAGGTTGCACATAGTCAAGGGATTTCAGTTTCAAAGGATAACAGAGGCCATTTCTTTTCTTTATCATTTTCAACTATAGAGAGTGATTACCTTGATATAATTGATACTTAGACCGGCAAACAATTGCTTCCAACCTTGATTGCGAACAATGTACGAAAGACCTTCCATGGTGCTCTTGTATACAACACCACCTTGCAACGAGGGTTGCAAATGCTCCACCTGAAATAGCTTAGAATTACTTATCCGAGTAAACAATGAAATTTATGAGAACTACCTACAAGCGAAAGCAATAGATCATATATAAAGTAGTCTTAGCAAGATTACCCAGCAACATATTGATAATAATAGAACATAACTATACCTTTCTAAGAATGGTAATGCTTGGTTTTATAAATTGAGTCCATAAAAATGCAATATCAAGACACGAAAAGAAGGGATACATCATAATTACTAAATTTTACATCAGTTTGGTCTAATTATAACTCGCAAAAGTTTCATAACTATATAAACAAATCACAATTTGATTCTGGTTTAAAATATGGAAGAATAACGCATTACCTGCATTTGCCTCCTGACAACATCTAATGGATATGTGAACGTCTGCCCGAATAAACCGGCCAAAGCTCCACAAGATAATCGCATTAAAATGGACTTTTGGTGCTCTTCAGGAACGTGCCTCTTGAGTTCCTCATAAACGTAAAATTTCAAGCCAGCATACGGAAGAATACCAATAAGCGTTGGACCTGAAACGAAATATAACTTTACGTATCAACATTTTGATCACGACGTTAGCAACATTACCATCATTAATTAACTAATAATTTATTTATTTATTTATTTGCTTTCTTTTCAGCAAAAAAGTCGAATGATTAGGCCATAGTATAAGCCAAAAATATATTTGCAAGCTTCATAGTTTTGGTCTAGCTCAGTGGAGAACAAATTGTATATAATAAGTAATAAACTACACATTTTCACCATCTTATGAAAACTTGTGAATGTTATTTTGCATATCAAATAAAGTGTTTGAAGTTAATAGGAATGGACTTCTACCAATGCCTCTATATAACCCCCGCACACCCCTTTCTTTGTAGACTCTCTCGATCACATTTCTAATTCCACTGTAAGCAGGATTTGCATTCAACTGTCTCGTCCCGTGCTGCAAAGTTCCACTTGTGTCGACAATCTACGAAACAGTAAATAAGAACTGAAATATAACTTCTGAAAATAAAACCACAAATAAAAAATAAAAAAAATAAAAAAAATCAAAATGACTAGTACCTGGTAGGCGAGCTTAGTACGAGCTAAATCTAGTGGGTAAGTGCATAAAACTGCAGTGCCACCAGCAGCTGAACCAGCTAAAAGATCCACAACAGGTCCAGTTCCTAAAGCAGAGTGATTATCCAGAATCCACAAACGATATTGCTCATAGGCCATGAAATGCAATGCTGCATAAGGTACAATTCGAAGTACGCTTGCTCCATTTCCTCTGGATCATGGAAAAGAATCATCCATACTGGTTTTCATAAGTCTAATCACAAAAAGATTCAGTTATTTTTAAAAATTAAATGTATCCTCCTAAATTTAAATACAGGAAACAGATATAAGAGGGTACTAGTACTAATACCCATGTACAACATGGGTGTTGAGTAAATGAATATATGTGTAAAGTTATTTATGTCTAATACCAAACCTAACTCCAACGCAAAAAATAATAATAAAACAACATCACAAAGCATAGATTTTTGCCATGTCAGCATCCGAAGCATGAGAATCCGCCACATAGGCTCAACACGTTTTGAATTAATATATAGGGAGGGATTTGTAATATTGATTTTTTTTTTTTTTGGGGTAATTAAGCAGCCCACAAGTGTAGTTTTCTAACTAACTCTATTTTATAGAAACAAGATTCAGAAATTGAAATGGTTTGAAACTTACTTATAAAATCCTGCTACGCCTTCATGCTTTAGTAGCTTTTTCAGGGAGTGATAAATTCCTAGAGAATGAAAGCCCTGTGTTCTAGTCTAGAAGAGAAAACAAGGGATTGGATTAGAAATGATAATTATTAAAAATAATAATAATAATAAAAGAGAAAGTACAAGATTTCTGACCAATCCAGATACCATGAATGCACTAGCTATGATTAGAAAAGCTCCATTAAAAACAGTTTCATGCATTTGCAAAATATGTTCGATCTCAGAAAATGGAGCTACATTTCAGTAAAGAAATTAAGTAAATTTTCCATTATGTTTTTCATGCAAGACACAAAAATAACAGACCCCAACCTGAAAAACCCCAAACAACCAATACACAAGCTTTAAGGCATCTAAAGTTCCAATCTCAATTGTAACTGTTAATTGTCAGCACTACATACGAACATATCGCGATGTTTGTGTGAGAAGGATAGCACCAACATATACCAAATGCATCCATATAGAATTAGGCATTACAACAGTCAGACACATCTCGTTTCTCGTTAAAAAATGAAATTATGCCATTTTTGAATCCCATCATCTAATTCACACACATAAATACATGGTCTTTTTTCAAGTTTTCAGCATTAGCAAGTCAATTACAACAAACATACAGTTCCAGTTAACCCTTTCTACCAACAACATAAAAATCTCACTTTCTGCACTTCAATCAGATGCACAACCATTGTAAGTTACTTTCATTTACTTTTTCCTCTTTTTTTTACTGGACTTACCTGCAGAAGTATTTTAATTCGTTCCAAAGGAGCAACCGCAGTTTTAGCAAAACCACCAGCAGCACCGCCAGCAATAAGCTCCTTCACAAAGACAGGAACTTTGCTTTCGGCAAATTCAATCTCTGTATGAGCAGAAGATTTGTTCGCAAATCCAGACACATTTGATGACAGCGTAGATCCTTGTGAAGAACCCATTTTTCGAAAACCTTCAAGTTTACTTATCAAAATTCTATTGTTATCTTTCTTTTGTTGGCTCTGTTTTCGAAATATCGACAGATGTTTGATTATCCACTCTGCAATATGTAAAATGCCTTATCCCATCTATCCCTTTGGGTAGTAGAGAAAAATATAACTTTCTGCCCTGAAGGCAGAGCCAATGGCCTGAGAACAAACTCTATGTCCACAAGCCGGTCCTTTTCAGTAAAAAGCAGATACATCAAGTAAAGGACAACTATCAAACACCTCTAGTGCAAACACAAAATCGCCATGAATCACAACAGGTCGAACCCAAATAAAAACCAAAATCTGACAAAATCAAAGAATCAGAAGCCTCTCAATTGAGTAAAAACAAAAAAAGATCAGATCTTTTATTCAAATCTACACCCCCAAATCAAAATCTCGCAAATCAAGCACGCCCAGATGAGAAACACCCCTTCTTCTATTCAAATCTACACCCCCAAATCAAAATCTCGCAAATCAAGCACGGCCCAAACGAGAAACACCCCTAATCTTTAGAAAACAGATCAGAAATGACTTAATAAACAGCAAAAATGGGAATGGGGGTTTCTCTATTTTGGATCTTAGAACTCTGGGAAAAGCCTCTCATGAAAACGGAGGCTTTTCTCGAAAACACAAACTGGCTCTAAATTCTTGAATTATTCTTCGCGCTGTAATAAAGATTGATTCCTATTTGTTCTCCTATTTCCTCGGTTCTTCGAAGATGCTGTTGGCGTTGATTGACTAGGAAGTTTTGGTGGGAAACGAGAGAAAAACTAAAATGGAGAAAGTGACCAGAGACGTGTAGTTAAAAGCGGGTCCATTAGTTGCACCAAAAAAAAAAAAAAAAGCGGGTCCACTAGAACCGGCTAAGCAAGACGAAGACACATGAGTATCAGTGGTACTACCGTGCCCCTTGACACTTTCTTTTTTAACAATCTGTGCAAATTGGTCAAATTGTATGAGAAAAATAATGCTTTATTACTTTAAACTATCCAGATAAGATAAAACAGTGCAAATATTGAAAAATTATGAATTAGGCAAAAGGAGATTGAAGCCATCATCAAGAGCCCTCGGATGGGCCGACCTTTTATTTATTTTACTAATTAATTAATATTTTGATTTGATGGTAACACTAAACGACAAAGCATAGGCATCTTATGTTTTTTCTTAAATCAAATCATTAGTTACCATTTGGTACGACAATCTGAGAGCTCCTTCGTCTTCCATCAATCTAAGAGTTGCAAGATTTCTCCTTTTCCTCTTTTATTCTTTCAATTAGTTCTCTCATTTTGAATTAGAGAGTTCTTTTTTCTGGGTCCCAAATGACAAGCAACTCAAGGGCCGATGGCAAATTCAAGAAAATATGTGTATTCTGTGGGAGTAATCCGGGTTACAGAAAAATCTTCAGCGATGCTGCTATTGATTTGGGAAATGAACTGGTTCGTTTCCTTTTTCCGCTTTATCAGTGAAAAAATCGAGTCTTTTTCAGTTTTTGATGATTGATTTTGTTGAGGCTAAAATATTTGTTTATACTGCTCTATGGAGTTTTCATGACATTTAGATACTTTGTGATGATGCTAACTAATTTTGCAGGTGAATAGAAATATAAGTTTGATTTATGGTGGTGGAAGTGTTGGGCTGATGGGTTTGTTGTCCCAAAGAGTTTATGATGGTGGTTGCCATGTTCTTGGGTAAGAGTTTTGGAGAAAAACAAAAAACTAAAGATTGAATTCGAAATCATTATTTTGATCGAAAAATTGGTTCTTTTGGGTGGTTTTAAGTTGATTACTGTTTTGCCTTTTACAAATGCAGAGTAATCCCTAGAGCTCTAGTTCCCATTGAGGTACAGTGACTTCTCGTTATGTCCTACTTTGCGACGTCTTTTCATTATTTCGTTTGTGGTCAACATTAAAGACGATTTTAGTCCTCGTTTTGTAGTTGAGTTGATCTGTTCTTGCTTGGGGCATTGCATACGATGTTTATAAATTTCGAATCTTGATTGTGGAGATGGTAAAATTTTGATGGAATTGGCTTGGATCTTGCTGTTTTATATAGACTTTGTCGGTTAGCGTTTTTATTTGTGGATATTATTCACGGGAAGCTACTAAAATTATCGCGAAAAAATATGTTTTTTTGCTCGACTTGTTAGAAAATAAGTTATGTTCTATGAAGTAATATGGATGTGAGTATATATTTGGTAGATATCAGGAGAAACTGTTGGGGAAGTGAGAGTTGTTTCTGACATGCACGAGCGCAAAGCTGAAATGGCTCGGGAAGCTGAAGCGTTTATTGCTCTTCCTGGTAAAAACAAGTCTTAGTTTAAATCTTTATTTCACTCTTTTTTTTTGGGGGGTTAGTTTTAGCTTATAGCTTCATATATAATATCTCGAACTATTAGGAGGATATGGGACCATGGAGGAGCTAATGGAAATGATAACGTGGGCTCAACTTGGGATTCATAAAAAACCGGTGATGTATCTATTTTAACTTTTGCAGGTTTAGAAAAGTCGATTACCTTTCTTTTTTTAACACGAATTATTATTTTGGCCAGGTTGGTTTGTTAAATGTTGATGGCTATTATGATGCATTGCTAACATTATTTGACAAAGGCGTTGAAGAAGGCTTCATAAAGCCGAGTGCTCGGCGCATAGTTCTTTCGGCTCCTACTGCCAACGAGCTTTTAACAAAGATGGAGGTAATTCTCTATTTACTCCCGCTTTTTAGAAAGTGAGTGCAAATGGAAGCTAAAAAGTGATATTTATATGGATGTAATTTGATTTCTATCTACACCTTTTGCTTTCTAACATTTTTTGTATTTATATTTTCAGCAATACACCCCTTTACACGATGGCGTTGCCCCTCATGAAAGCTGGCATATGGAGCAACTTGGTAGTTACCCGACTGAGAGAAAAAAATGATTGGGTTTTCTTTCGCTTTTTACTTTTCTGGTGAACCGATATTTTTTTCCTCGTTTTACCAGATGGATGCCTGATGCTATTATTTCTGGTTTTTGATTCGTGTATTAGGATCTTTTTCAGCTGGGGCCTCTTAATTCTTTGTGATTTTGAATTCGAGCACAACTCTTTTCCTCTCTATTTAGCATGATGATTACACTGCTTACAGAGTAATAAATCACTGGAATATTTTAGTGAGGATTTTGAATGTAAGTTAACTATTTTTATGATTTGTGCAATGAACGCCTCACGACATTTGTTCTTGATCCGTGTTTTTTACTCTTTCACCTGTTACATTCAATCTTTTTGGTATGTATTCGTTTTTAATCGCGTGCATTATTGTAGTTGTGATACACTCTGCATGCCCAAAAAAAAGTCAGCTTTTCTGGAAGCTCGAGCTATTGTCTGATTAATGTAAGATTACAACTAGTTGCTTGACTCAATTAACTACAAAACCCGTGTGTTTTTCTGCAAGGGATCAGGTGCTTGAGGTGATCACAAACTGAATTTCTAATGGCCCCTCTTTTTGTTTGTTTGATTGAGAGTTTTCCAGTGTGTGCTGTTTGTGTGTAACCACTCTTCTGTTGTAAACCTCAGAATAAGGGAAATGTCGATACTGCCCCCACGTGCTTTTCACCGTTGATTTACACACGAACACACACTTGGAATTTTTCCAGAATAAGTCTGGAATATTATCTTATGATGGAGCTTTTAAGTTGGCTGTTGAGGGGTCCCTTTTTTGATGGGTTCTACTTGTTCTAATTTCAAAGCTCTCTAATTTCTTAGGTGGTGACTGAGGATATATAACTTTGTTAACAACTTTATAGTATAGAGGCCAAAGTAATCCATTTTCCATCAAATGAAAATTTTGCCACCTAAAGTTTTCAACTTTCATCTTATTAGAGACAGAGCTAGTAGGAACTTGTTGTGCACGGGTAAGAGATATTTATTAATATTTATAAATTAAAATTTTCAATGTTATCTGAAATTTAAATTGTGCAAAAATCACATAAAACATGTTATTTAAAATTAGTACACGACCCGACAACGAAACCCAGTTTGAGTGGTAAGACGTTTCACCTATGACCAATAAGTCATGAGTTTGAGTAACTGAGAAGGGTAACTGAGAACACTATTGATCCTCCTTAAGAAGATAAAAAAAAAAGGTAAAATTAGTACACAACCCCTATGGTGCATATGTAATTGATAGAGATGTTAAACGGGCTAGCCCTTGCAGTTTCGGGTTTGGCCCTAGCGGGCTTCGGGCTAAACGGTCTGGGCCTGAAAAGCCTGGATTTACACGGGCTACCAATAAAAGGACCTAACCCTAACCGTAGCGGGCTTCGGGCTAAATGGGCTAAACGGGCTATAATAATAATAATAATATATATATAACATATAAATAAAAATTACAAGCGGACTTCATGTATGAACACTAGTTGCAAACTCTTAAGTGACATGTTTTTCTTAAAAGAAAAAAAAAATATTCGAACTATTACTTATAATTACCATTTTATTACTTATTTTTGTACGCTTTAGAAATTTTCACGATATTGTATCTTACTGCTGAATTTATATTTTATCACTATGTTCTATGTGTTAGGTCTTTGTCTCATGTGTTTTTTATTAGCCGTTATAATTGGCTTAAATAATTTGGTGTGAAGTAAGAAAACGAAATTTTTAATAATTATCTTTCGAAATCCTAATAACCGGCTACAACTCATAGTTACATATGAAGTAGAATAGTAAAGTTGTAATATACAGGTTAAACTGGCTAGCCCTAGCGGGCTTCGAACTATTACTTATAATTACCATTTTATTACTTATTTTTGTACGCTTTAGAAATTTTCACGATATTGTATCTTACTGCTGAATTTATATTTTATCACTATGTTCTATGTGTTAGGTCTTTGTCTCATGTGTTTTTTATTAGCCGTTATAATTGGCTTAAATAATTTGGTGTGAAGTAAGAAAACGAAATTTTTAATAATTATCTTTCGAAATCCTAATAACCGGCTACAACTCATAGTTACATATGAAGTAGAATAGTAAAGTTGTAATATACAGGTTAAACTGGCTAGCCCTAGCGGGCTTCAGGCTAGCCCTATCGGGCTTCGGTCTAAACGGTCTGGGCCTAAAAGCCATGATTTAAATGGGCTACTAAAAAAAGGCCGGCCCGTCGGGCCAACGACCGTTTAACATCTCTAGTAATTGATAATACAATACATTATATTCATTTCAAAATAAGTGTTATTTTAAATTTTTATTCGGAGATTCGATTTGACTACAATGTGATTCCATAAACTAATTATTTTGGTAAAATTTTATCATATATTAAAAAATTTATATTTATATGAATAATAAGTATAATTTACATTAAGTAACAAAATTAAATCTTTTATCATAAAACATCACTACAGATTCTTAATTACCCATGTGAGAGACGATTGAAATATGGCAAAATGCAACTGGGCGACATGAAATTACACAGTAGCTATAAAAATTGAATTTTTTACAATAAGTCATAACTAATCTTACAAATTAATAGAAGCACTTAATGCTTTTCCATTTTACTGAATAAAAAAATTTAAAAACTTACCCAAATTGATAAGTATTTAATGCTAACAGAATTTGACTTGCATTTGACCTGCAATTTTAGAAAAAAAAAAGTTATTCTTTTTATAGATATATAGTATATAGATATAGATTCAGTTAGTAGTATACATTTTCAAATGATAAAAAATTAGACCAAATTTCTTCAAAACTTTAAATCTTAATAAGAAAAAAAAACACCTAAATTGTTTTTCCATGTGTTCAAGCTTCACAATAAGCAAATTCATGATGCAACTATTTAGGATTGATGTGATTTTTATACTCTGATTGGATGCATTTTTTTTTTCTCCCCCAAAAAATACTATTTATATACTCCATTTTTTTTGGGTATAATCTTACTAATACAATTAAAAAATAAAGATCGATAATTACTACACACTAGTACAACACCCGTGTATTACACGGGTGCTTGCTAATTTTTTTCTTAAAATCTAAAATTAATGAGAAAAAGTAGTTGGAATTTTAAATACCTTTTACAAAAATATATATATTATTATATATTTAGTATGACACTTTTTATTTGTCCGACTTATCTGTGTCATATTACAATAATTTTTTTAACTTACAACATATTGCTACATTAAAAATAAATATATCAGTTGATAAATAATTTTATTTTTTTATTGAATTTTAATAAATATTATTAATCTTTATTATTATAAAAATAAATATAATTTATTTATTTCATATATACAATATGGATGTCAAATCGAAGATCATCAAAAGATGATTAATTTGATATATAATATATGTAAAACCGATAAGAAATACAAAAGTTATCAACTTTTAAAATACATTTACAATTTAATAGCTAATTGAAGGAAACAAATCAAAGTCATGATATATTAGTCACTTAGTGTCTCACTATATAAAATTACAAGTAATTAAAGAGTTATATTAGTACAAGTAATATTAAAATACCTAAGTTAGATAAATAATAATTATGGAATGTCCGAACTTAGATTATTAATTATTAATATATCAATATTATTTGTCCAAACCTAATTACGAAGCATGATTCTTCGCCAAGTATAATTACGAAGCACCAGAATCAGCCACGTAGGCTCAACACATTCGGGAATTATATATAGGGAAGATTCTTCAACATTCATACTATTCATCAATTCACTTATTTTTACCTATAATTAGTTACTTTAATTATTTTACTATCTTCTATTATATATATTTTATTAATAATTATATTTTATATTCATATTGTAATAAAGAATGAAATGAAATAATTAAAGGAAAAGGAAAAGCAAAGAAAATTAGAAACCCTGTCCCCGAACAACCGGGAAGTAATCCTCCGTCGCCCTCCGCCGAAGACGAGCTACGCGCAGCTTTTTACGTCCTCACTCACGCGACTTGGAAATTTGAGTGTAATTCTGTTGTGCCCGAGTTTTATCCACCTGATTGAGTTGACCCTGTTCGCCATGGCTTATGGCGGCCCGGCCGTGGCTCCGACGGCACCAATAGGCGGCTCTAAGACAGTAAGGCAGGTCAAATTGGACAAAGAATGCGAGCTCAGAGTTGAAGTCGGTCCAGATTCTCCGCTTCGCCTCCGCGTGCTCAATGGCACCGCCGAGATTTTTGGGACGGAAATTCCGCCGGAGATTTGGTTGACTTTCCCCCCGAGGCTTAAATTTGCGGTATGGAAACTTAGAGATTTGTTATTTTATACCTGAAATCTCATTCCTCCCCCCGCCTTTTTTTGGTTAATAGAATAAATTTGAGATCTTTTGGAAAAGAAAGAAAATTGATGCTTACTTTTTGAGAGAAAATGCAAAATAAATTGAATTTCGATTAAATTGCCCACTGATTTGTATTCATATTCACGAATTGAGGGTGAGTGAGGCCATAAGGTGGACATGGGGTTATGGACGTAATTCTGTTGTTATATCTGCTCGTTTGTGGTTAAGTCACAGTTCTGATTGGTAGTTTTATTTTGCGCATAAGGTTTTTACATGGTATGGGGCAACAATTGAAATGGATGGTACAACTGAAACTGACTATACAGCTGATGAGGTATTGTTATTGTTCTCAACACATGATGTGATCACCTCAAGGTTTTCCTAGTTCAAATCTTTCTCCAGCAGCTAATTAGTTTTTAGATTCTTTTATTTTGTGTGTGTTTTTAGACTCCCATGATCAGCTACGTCAATGTCCATGCTGTGCTGGATGCTCGACGAAATCGTGCCAAAGCTTCACCCAGTGATTCTGATGCTTCTCAGGTGCCAAAACTTCACCCAATTAACCCTTTACCATCCGTGAAAAAAAAAAACATTTTTTTTTTACCCTGAAATTCGGAGAGTTCACTATTGTTAGATGTTTCTGGTCTTGAAAATTGAATGCTTCAGTTGATGAGTGATTGGTAGAAAGAAGTCATTTTGTGGTGTTATCAGATTTGGTTTATCAGGGTCCATATAACTGTATACTGGTCCGTATCTATGTATTGTTATTGGTTTATGATTTGAGTAATTTCTCACTGTATCTCATTCAAAAGGCATAGATCAATTCAGATTAAGACCATCAACCATAGTAGTTCTGCAATGCAACGATTATTTAAGGGTATTGTGCGTATGTTGATACATATATGGATCTTCTGTTTGCATGTAAAGGGACCAAGGGTCATAGTTGTTGGACCAACAGACTGTGGGAAGAGTACATTATCAAGGATGCTTCTTAGTTGGGCAGCTAAACAGGGTTGGAAGCCTACTTTTGTGGATTTAGACATTGGTCAAGGATCTATAACTATACCTGGATGCATAGCTGCTACACCAATCGAGCTACCGATTGATCCAGTTGAAGGGATCCCTCTTGACATGCCTTTAGTTTACTTTCATGGCCATGTGACACCAAGGTAATAAATAGTCTTTTTTAAGAAACACTTGTATTTTGGTCCTTTTGCCAATTGAAATTCAATTTGGCGCTTTTTTCAGTGGCAATGTAGATCTCTACAAGGTGTTGGTCAAGGAGCTTGCTCAGGTTTTGGAGAGGCAGTTTGCTGGGAATATTGAATCAAGAGCTTCTGGCATGGTGATTAACACCATGGGATGGATAGAAGGTGTTGGTTATGAGGTATGTGAGTTTAATGTAGAAGGTGTTAGTTATGACGGATCTGATTTAATATCCGCTTAGTTCTAATTGTATGCTTACTCGTTTCTTGTTTTGTTTTTTTCTTGGGCAGTTGTTGCTTCATGCGATTGATACATTCAATGCCACAGTTGTTCTGGTTTTGGGTCAGGTACGCCGTTCTGGACTAAAATTTAGCTTGTTGTACTATTTTTTAAATGATTATTATCTGAATGGAGTAATTTGAATGACTACGCTGTTTGCCTGAACCTGATGTTTTTTGTTTTGTTCTTATTTTCACAAGGATTCTTTTTATCTTACTTATAAACTTCAAAGTGACACCTTGTCCTTTTTTCTTTATTAATATTATTTTTTGTTCGCTTTAATTTTCTTCAGGAAAAGCTTTGGAGCATGCTTAGAGATGTTTTGAAAAACAAACCTAATGTAGACGTGGTGAAACTTCAAAAGTCTGGCGGTGTTGTCTCAAGAAATGCAAAAGTTCGTCAGAAGGCCAGAGCATACAGAATACGTGTATGCAATTTACATATTGCGTTTTTGGCTTTTTATTTATATTTGAATTCTAACAGTTAAATTTGGTGTCCTGGTTGAATTTCACTACGATGCTTTGCTTTTTTCTTTTTTTTTTTTTTTTCTTTTGGAAATCATATTTGTTTTTGTACATTGTGTGACTGAAGGAATACTTTTATGGCATCGCGAAAGATCTTTCCCCCCATTCCAACACTGCAAACTTCAGTGATTTGTGCATCTACCGAGTCGGTGGGGGCCCAGCGGCCCCACGATCTGCTCTGCCAGCTGGCGCTGAACCGACTGCTGACCCGACAAGAGTGATCCCTGTCAATGTTAACCAAGACTTGCAGCATCTAGTGCTAGCTGTATCCTTTGCTAAAGAACCCGATGAAATAGTGTCCAGGTAACTATTTCTCCATTTTTTAAGTATTAACTGATGTTAGTGGGAAAATCAGTCTCTTTCTTACATACTTTCATACTCAAATGTCATACTAAATTTGTGAAAAAAATAAATAATTGAAAGCAATGAACGAGACCATCTCATGGTGTTTTCCCTTTTTCCCTCTCTTGTCAGTAATGTTGCTGGGTTCATCTGGATCACTGGCATTAACTTCGAAAGGTTTGATCTCAAACTCTTTAATTCAATAATTGTCATTTTTTTTTTTTGTTGCCAGCACAAATCTTATATCAATTTGTGAAAAATATTGCAGCAAGACAGTTACGTACCTTGCGCCATCTGCTGGAAGTCTTCCAGGTAAATATTTGATCGTGGGGAATCTGACTTGGGTTGAAACTTGAGGGAGCTAAGAACTCGGTTTTCGCTCGTACAATTTACAGTCAAGCCCCAGAAAAAGCCCACGCAGTTTAGAGCGAGATTTAGGTGTAGAAACATGAATGGATAATATTTATGCTGCCTGATGCAGAGGGCTTATACTTTTAAACACATTAATGTTATAGATTTGTGCTAATCAAAATGTTATTATGAGTTATTTTCAAGGCAGAAACTCTATGTTCCTTTTCCTTTGAAGGTGCTGTGCAAATCCCCTCCCCCGTCTATCTTGTACCCGCATATTATTATCAATGAATGACTACATGTAATCGGTTTTGATATGAGCAGACTCCAAAATTCTTGGGATAATAACAAACTGCCCTTGTATATGTATTCAACCTCTAATTACAGAGCACCCCATAAAATTGAGTAGTAGTAATGTAATAGATAATCTTTTTTGTCATCAAATTTCATGATCTTAATTCATAAAATGGTACAGGTTTTGTACTGTATCTTACATCATACAATTTCTGCATCCAAAACAAAAACATGAACAAACAAAAAATCTTGTTGTTACACCAAGAGCTTGTACCAAATCACCACCAGCCATGAACAACCTGAGTGTACCTGTTCTTAAGCCACCTAAAGCTCTTTCTAAAAGACCCTTTGACTTTCCCTTCAGCAGAGTACACTTTATAGCTAGCAATCCTTTTCTTTCTCTGCAGCTCAGGGTCGTTAAAAATCCAAGATTTTGAACCCGACCCACCTGCGCTCTTCCCTCTCTCGAGCTTCTCCGGCGGCGGCGGCGGCGGCGGCGGTGTGTAGTAAGAGTCGCTGTAGGACCTGAAATCTTTGGTCCCTGTAGTTGATGGGGGACCATAGTAAGGCTGTATTTGCATATTGTTGTCACCGTAGAAGTTTGATCTGTAATCTGCCATGGGTTTCTTCAAGGTTCTTTTCTTTTCCTTTTTTGATGAAAAAATATGAAATTTGTGGGATTATTTGTTGGGGAAAATAAGGCTAAGAATGAGAGAGGGTATCAAAAGGCAAATTGCCAACTAGAAAAGGGAATTTGAATGTAATTCTTCGGTTTTGAAAATGTGTTAGTTTAATGCAATGGAATGAGATTCTAGATGAGACTAGTCAAACAAAACATACCAAAATTATTGTGTTTAGTCTAATATTAGGCGAACTAATTTTTCTTACATTTTTTTTATTTACTAAAAATGTATATTTATGATATGAAATGTCATCTGTTGTATTGTTTTGCATAGTACGATTGTATAGCTTAAAAGTATCCATATTGTTGAAACACTAACCATTATACATTCATATTTTATTACACGAAATGTCTACTTATATTATAAAATATCATTTTCTTATGTTTATACTGTAGTTAAAAAGTATGGCATTTGAATATAAAAGTATGTAACTTTGATGAAATAATATAGTTTTCTAATCATTAGGTAGCTTCAAGCCTTCAACGCAAGAACAACCGTTGTTGAAAATTTATGATTGTGATTATAATAGTCTAATAGTATTTGTTGAAAATTTATGATTGTGGTTATAATAGTTGTTGAAAAATTTATGGTTGTGATTCTAACAAGTGTAATAGTATTTGTTGAAAATTTATGATTGTGGTTATAATAGTCTAATCGTAGCCTTATATAGCTCACTTGTTAATCCATTACCATGCTGTGATAAATATGCTTCGTATAATTATTATTAAGGTAATAACGTAATAAACTCAAGATTCAGAAGTTACTTACTGAGATGGAGAAAGCAATTGAGTTACTAAAATCATGCGCCATAATAAAGTTAGTGGAGGCAAAAAGTTTGCTTAGAACATGTGGTTTGAGTCTCGTTCCAGAATATGTTAGTTAACCTTTATAGGCAATATTTTATATAATTATAGATAGCAACGTCATGAGTTTTTGTGATTATCATATACTCCTCATATTTTTATTATTTGTCATTTTGATAAGTAACATGCTAATTGAAATTTTTTTTAGCCAATATTAACACTATTTAATGGATGAATATTATGGAAACTATGGAAATAAGATATGAAGAGACACTGTACATTGATGAAGGGTTAAAAAAATGGAAAAATATGAACAAAATAGCCAAAACGACATTTATTTAATCAATGATCCATTAAATTAAAGTGATAAATAATAAAAATAGAAGGAGCATATTTTTATTGCATTAATAAATTCAGCTGAAAAGAAACCACTGATTGACACCTTCAAGTTCAACATTAGGGACTTGGTCAAAACATATATGATATCCTCAAAAAATAAAAAAAAAAAATAAAAATAAAAAAACTATAACAAACAAATAGCATACAAATAACATTATATCACATTCGTAACATGAATTTCTATTTTCTTCAAGCGTGGATCTAGAAAAATAGTGGACAACAAAATAAAAAATAAAAGAAAACAAAAATTCATCATTCAATTTATAAATATTTTTTTTTTCTTTCAAAAAAGTGTTTCAAAGCCACCTAATTTATTGTTCTTATTGATTTCGAAAAACATAACAAGGATTTTTATATAAAATATACCAAAACACACCAACAAAATACATTGAACAAATTCAAACTTCTTAACATAAAGACTCCATAAAAAGTTCATCATCATCATCATTATCATCCAAAACACCAGTTATTCTTGAAGACGACAATTACAATACACCAAACAAAAAACCTTCCCAACAGCAGTAGGAAGAAAGTCTTCGAACAGCATATTTTTGAAATTGAGAGAAAAAAAATGAAGTCCCTTCCTTTCTCCCAATTTTATAGAAAAAGAAAAAAAGAAAAGTTCCCAAGTCCCACACCAGTCAAATACCTAATGACCTCGACGAAATAACAAGACGGTAACAATAATAACTTGCTCAGTCAAGACCAAAATAACACAACCCAAACGAGTCGAACGAACCACACTACTCAAAGCAAATCCGCCACATTGGCCGGCAGCTCCTCAACCACGACATTATAAAACTTCTGAATATCAAAAAGCATGCGATCATCATCCTTGGTCACGAAATTTATCGCCACACCCTTTCTCCCGAACCTTCCACTTCGCCCGATACGGTGAAGATAGTTCTCCGGTTGGGTCGGGAGATCATAGTTAATCACGAGCGAAACTTGCTGAACATCAATACCACGAGCCAACAAATCGGTGGTGATGAGAACCCTGGAAGAACCCGAACGAAACTCGCGCATGATGATGTCACGAGTGTTCTGGTCCATGTCACCGTGAGTGGCTGAGACTGTGTGGTCGCGGGCCCGCATCTTGTCGGTGAGCCAGTCAACCTTGCGGCGGGTGTTGACGAAGATGACACTCTGGGTGATGGCGAGGGTCTCGTAAAGGTCACAAAGGGTCTCGAGCTTCCATTCCTCTTTCTCGACGTTCACGTAAAACTGCTTGATACCCTCGAGGGTGAGCTCGTCACGCTTGACAAGGATGCGTACGGGCTTGTTCATGAACTTGCGGGTTATCTCGAGAGCTTCTGGGGGCATGGTGGCGGAGAACACGCCTACCTGGATCTTCGGGGGCAGCAGCTGGAAGATGTCGTAAATCTGGAAGAAAATGAGGGGTTAAGAGGAAAACTGTTAAGGGTAAATGAATGGATTGTTTGCAAATTACAACAACTACCCTGAAGTTTGAGTCTCAGATGGAAATAATAGAAATTACTAAAGCACTCATTTTTTTTACAGTTGCAGCCCCTAAATTTTCTAAATTTTTGGTGTAATCTGATTTTCTCGACTTAAATCTGTTGAATAAAATTATTGATTTTCTAAATGTAACGAATAAATTGGGGTGTACAGTACTGAGCAAAAATTGAGGGTAGTAATTGTTTAAGACTAATGACATCAGCCCCAATTATCACTAAACTACATCACTTTTCAAGGCCAACAGGCAAAGGCAGAGATCATGAACAACGGAAAGCACACCGTTAAAGTAAAGACAATATACCAGACAAAAGCACAAAAAATCTCCAGTGTAAAAAAATCCAGTGTAAAACGGGGGGCAAAAGGCTATTGGGAAAAACCTGATCCTTGAACCCTCTGGAGAGCATTTCATCGGCTTCATCCAGAACAAACATCTTGATGTAATCAGGGCGCAGGGACTGCCTTCTCAGCATGTCAAATACACGACCCGGGGTGCCAACCACAACGTGTACCCCACTGGAGAGGATCCGCTGGTCCTCACGCACGCTGGTGCCCCCAACACAAGCATGAACCTTGACACCAAGATAATCACCGAGAGCACGCATGACCTTCTCGATTTGCTGGGCAAGCTCGCGAGTGGGTGCAAGGACCAGAGCCTGGCACTCCACCACATTGTAGTCCAGCTGCTGAAGAATACCGGAGCAGAAAGTTGCTGTTTTCCCAGTTCCAGACTGAGCTTGCTGAATGACATCAAGACCCTTGCAGAATGGGACAATACCTCTTTGCTGGATGGCCGAAGGTTTTTCGAAACCTAAAAGTATATGAGGCATGAGTAGTCACTATATGATTAGTGCATTCGAAGGATACAACAATTAAATTGAGAGTCAAAATTATTGATGAAGCGTATAAATTATATGCAACAGAAAGTAGAAAGTTTTTACGTTAATTGGTTACTGGTTACATACCATAGGCGTAGATGCCCCTCAGAAGATTTTCCTGCAGACCCATAGCATCAAAACTATCGTACACCTCATCATAGCTAGTGAAAAACTCCTCTCCATCGGTTCCAAGACTTGTGATCATAGATTTATATTATTATTGAGGGGTGAGAGTAACAAGCAACGATAATGAACTAATTATTGGATGCTGCTTCAAAATTTTTGGAAAGTCAACAGGTAAAGAACACAACGGAAAAACTTACAGCTCATTCATTTTTGCATCAAATTGTTTAGCATCAAATTGAGAACCTTCAGGTGCTGTTCCGGCCATGTTTGCAAGACTACAAAACAGTGACAGAAGAAACAAATTATTGTCATGAGAAAGCATCACAGAGGACAATTCCTATGAAGCACGGTTACATATGTTCACACAAATAGACAAAATTATTACACACGAATGTTGCAGCTGTCATAAAATAAAGCAAAAAAATTTAACCCAGTATAACATACTTAACAGCTCCTGGCCAATCACAGTAACACAAATACTAAACAAATCAATGATGCGAAGTGCACTGTAAAAAAATTAAACTATTAAACCAAATTTTGTAGTTAAAAGGTAAAAGCTTTAACCATCCTTCCCACAAACATCCACACAACAGCTACTGACTATTAGGGGCAAATAACAGAAATCCAAGAACAAAAGAACCACATAAACACTCCTAATAAAGTACAACAAACACCTTATCCATAACGTTTAAGCTTCAAGGCAGTGAAGTACTAAAAGCATAATATGCCATTTGCATAAACACAGAAAGTACAACCTAAAAATACCAGCTTTATGCTCATCCATTCTATCCACCTTGCAATTACACTAAACATTGAAAAAAATATTAATATCAATGGAGAGAAACAATCCACCAAACTTTAGCAAAGCAGATGAATTGAGAAAGATAATCTAATCACATGACAGATGATATCAACTCAACAGTATCATAACCAGATAGATCTTTTAATAATCGTACCCCTGTATAAGTATAGAATACTTGACTAGTACTGGAGCTACACAAATATCAAGCAAGTCAATGATGCAAAGTGCACTGTCCATATTTAAAATATTAAAACAAAAGGTAAAAGCTTTAACCATTATGCATACAACAATACACACAGCAGCCACTGACTAATATCACAAAACCAAAATAATAGCAAGTCAGGCACAAAAGAACCACAAAAACACTCACGTTTGAGCTTTGAGAGCAGTTAAGAAATGAAAACATAACATGCCATTTCCATACACACACAAAGTACAACCTCAAAAGATCAGCTTTTAAGCTAGTCCATTCACACCCCCCAAGCCAAAATCCCAAACAAAATATCAATATCAACGGGGAGAAACAACCTAGCATAGCCTATGTCACAATAAAGATAAACCAAGCAGGATAATCCAATCAGTTGACAGATGATATCAACTCAAATATGCTATAAACACATAGATCTTCTAAACTCAAATCCAAATCGATTGAAGCCCGCTACAAAAAGAAAACGAGCAAACAGAATTCCATATCCGATCAAAAGTATCCACAGACCAACCGATTCACCCAATTCCAATCTTTATACACACGCGAACCACACTTGTACAACAAAAAACGCGAAAAAAAAAATAAATAAAAAAATCGAGACCAGACAAAGCTACCTGATAAAAACTCAAGATCTGAAGGAGAACAAGCTGATTGTGGGATCGACACAAAGCACGATTCTTAGCTGCGATTAATTTTTTCCAAAACTCCTCGGATCTACGCCGCGGAGTTGAGGAGAGAGACTGTAAAAGATATGCAGAGGAGAAAAACAGAGCTTTGAGAAGTCTGCTGTATGTGTGTGCGCGTGTGATTAGGGGTTTGGATTGAGAGCCTACAAGCCCTTTGTCTTCTTCTGTTAATTGACAGTACTGCCCCCTGTTGATCCTGATAATAACGACGTCGTTTGCGTTTGGGGTTGATGGGCCGTAGAGTTGATGGTTTGGGCTATATAGAGCTGGGCTCAATTGTCAATCGGGTGGGGGTGAGGCCCAACTTATGATCCATTAGTAGTCCAGTTGAAATAAAAATGGTTTGAATCTTGAGTTTTGGTTTTTCGGTTTAACTTTTGATAGCCCACCATATAAGGCCCACCCCCATAACTAGATTGTTATGTGAAACAAAAGGTTTACCACTCATGCTCAACTCGTCTAGTTTACAACAGTGTTTAAATAGCATAGCATAATTTGGCGCATTATGTACCCATGTAACTATTATTAATCTTTTGTGTTTTATTCAAATAGACTAGCTAAGCATTGGCGTGAAATGTTATTTTGTCCAAATAGTCTCGTGTTAGAGTTATAATTTTTTGTCAAACGAGTCATTTACGAGCTCACTAAAATACATGTATACTTAACTTGTGAGTCGAGCTCCATGGTTTGTCTCGCTCACTAAGCCAAAAAAAAAAAAAGTTAATAATAATAAA